CCTCTAACAAACAATCATGCTGTCGCCTCTCACTTTTGTTTAATATATTCTGTATATTTTTTACTACTTTATTTCCAGGTTATTTAAACAGATTAGATGTTTAGTATTATACCTTCACTTTTACAGAGTTGGGAAATAGTAAATCTGGGGGTTAACCCAGTTTTGGTTGGTGCTCTATTAATAATTGAACATGACAGCAGAACCTCTCCAATGCCAAGTGTTTTATCTCAGTAAATTGCCCCCTAATATTTATGTCAGGAAGAGTGAATGATGTTCTCCCATTTTACTAACAAGGGTAATGAGACCAAGTGGATGGACTGCTTGCCTGAGGTCAACATGACTAGGGAGAGTGACAAGGTCTACAGAACTTGGTCGTCTCTCATTAGAGGACTTTGCTGTCTTAGCCCCAGACTTCTTCCAGAATTCTCTACACTACTAAATGGGGGATCTTCTTTTTAAAAAAAAAAAAAAAACCAACCAAAACATTCATTTCCAGAGCTTTCAAATTTTGTTTTAATGTATCCAGGCTTATTTGTTCTTAAGGAGCCTAGAGAGTAGAAACCCAAAACGAATTAGAATGGTTGGTTTTGTGGTTTGATGGAAAGAATATGGTGCCAAGCTTCTGGAAACCTCGGTCATTTCTTTTCTACAATTTGCTGGCTTTGCGTCTCAGTCCACCTTTCTCTTGTTGGGCACTTTATCAGGCGAGTAGGACTATGCAATTTAAGTCCTTTTCAGCTTTACCACTCCACACTTTCATGGTGGAAAAATGGGCTTTAGAGAGCAAGGGGAATTGAGGTTGACCTTCTGTTGAGAGATGACTAAGATGTGTCTTAACTGGCTTCAAATATTGTTGCAATGACTTGTTTGTATCTCTAATATTGACAGAAAGATCTTGGAATAAAGCAAGATAAAAGTTTGGCTTGATGTAGAGGACTTCTATACTGCTGAATAAATTCTGGAGTCAGGGCCCAAGAGAAAGGGTAGAATCGCCATCATTTAAAAAATTAGCATTCGTCTATTGGGGCTTAAAGTGGACTTAACTGAGACAGGATGAATTGATAGTTTGACAGGTATTAACTTAGGCATTTGGATCCAGAAATTGGCCGATTTTCTTGGGGTTGTGGCTCACCTAGCATGCATGAGGCACTGGGTTTGATCTTCACCCCATAAAGGTATTGTGTCCACCTACACATAGAAAACCATTTTTTGTTCTCATAACAAGGTTGGAAGTACCCAGGACCAAACATTGACAGAGAGGTCCATTGTACAGCTTCCCCTGAGAAGTGAAATATGTCTTACCATTATTAAGCCTTAAGAGCAACAGAAAAAGACTAGTTACAGAAGTGTTTTACTCTATCAGTTATAGGGTTACAAACTTTTCTTCTTTCACCTGTCAAAAGGGCATGTTAAGCCGTTCCTAATCCAGTTTCTGCAATTGTCAATCAGGGTGGCTTCCCTCAGGTGCTTAGCTGAGGGTATAACCTCAGGCATTCAGAGTTGAATCGGGCCCTGCTCTTGTGCAACTCTTCCAAAAATTAAAGACTTAGTTTATCTGTCAGAAGGCATCAAGACTTTTCTAGTGACTTTGTTGACTAATGCTGAAAACATATCTGTGCAAGCAATGGCTCTCTCACTAGAATGTATGTTACTTCCAGGAAATGCCTTTGATAAGGATGGTGCTAGGGGGTACTTTCACTATCTCCCTCTCAAATCAGCCCCCTTTTCTGCTATAGGCCACCAACACTGCCCACCTGAATTAAAGTACTGATTTCTTCACTTGCCTCTGCACACCATTCTCAAATAGTGTCATTTCCCTGATTTTAAAACTGACTAGAAACCCCACCCCCAGTTGCTTTTGCCACTTAGCACAGTGTGTAGGAATTAGAAATAACTGTTTACATGGGAACAGGGGATAAGCTTATTCACTAAACAGTCTCACCAGGCACAGTGGTAAATGCCCATAATCCCAGTGGTTCAGGACGTTGAGAAAGGAAGATAGCAAGTTTGAGGCCAGCCTCAGCAACTTAGACCATCTCAAAATTTTAAAAACGGAGGCTGCTGGAGATGCAGCTCAGTGGTAAATTGCCCCTGAGTTAAATCCCCAGTACCCACCCCTCCCCAAATAAACCTTCTCCCAAACTGCCTGGCTGCCTGTGCTTGAGGAAGTGTCCCATCAGTTTGGCAGGCCTGGGGAAGCAAGCACCAACTGGGTTCCCAGAGCCAGCTGTTCTACAACTGGGGTTAGTCATTTCTGTAGCCAGGACTAAGAAAACCATCAACAGGAACCTGTGCTGAACATTGCTTTGCTTCCTTCTCTAGCAATAAACACCTCAGAAATCACAGCCAAGGGCTTAAAAGTCTTGTCCTTAGATCTAACATCCACATGCTTCCCTGTTCCAAACTCTGGGGATCAGGTACAGGAAGCACAGACTCTCCTGGGAAGCTGTATCAGTCATTTTGATGGGTCATTGAGCGGGCAGAGTGCTCTGCACTGCTTATAGTCTGGCAGGGCCAGTGGAAGTCAGTGCCCCAGCTCCTGGCTGTCAACGTACCCACTTCCACCTCTTGCCAACCCTTTCACAGCTTCCTCTTTATCCTATACTGCTGAGCCCCAGCAGAGTGCCTGGGTCACTGTTCCCTGCAGCATTCACCCCACACTGGGGATGAGCTCAACTAAAATGTTGCATGAGTGATGAGCTTAGGTACAATATAATCCTAAGAAGGCCTGCCACTACTAAAAAATGTTCCCCCAAAACGGTGATAGAAACCAGGCCCTGATTGCCTCTTTTATCTAGTACTTGGACCAAGTCAAAGGAATTGGTATGCCTCCTGCTGAAGCTTTTTTAAAGCTGCTCTCCTCAAGCATCAACTTGAGTGAAGTATGATTAGCTTGAAAATTTGAAAAATTCATATTTAACTGAAACTTTTTGGTTACTTATAATCACTACCAAATAAGTTAGGACTTTATAAATATTATGATAGCATTTCTATTAAGGGTAGGAGATATTATGCTTCAGTATCAGACAAACCTGAACATCTCAGTGGTGTGGGTTAGAACAAAGGTTATTTAACAGTCGTCATGGTCCATCTTGAAATATGTCAGGGGTGCTGAAAATAAAGGTCTAAGTGTTCTAGGTGTTTTTAAAGATCGGCCTCCTAAGTGGCTTATATCCCATCTCTTCATGGTCCCAAACTGCAAGAATAGGAGCCCATGGATCCTGGGCAAGGCTACCATGTGTATTTCCTGTCAGCACTGTGATCAGCTACTATCCAGACTAAGTACTTCACGACCATATGTATGCTCACAAAAATCTGATAAAAAGGGGCTAAAGGTACTCATCTTAATACTTGAGAACGCAGAAATTAACCTGAGATTACATGCATAGATTGTGCGTCCTAACCAGTTCTGTCCAGTTCCAAAGCTTGGAGGGGCTTTTCTATCATATGAGCCCTACATAAAATAGCATCACCACTTGATAAACATAGATTTCCTCCTGCTCTCCAAGTATCAGTACTTTAACTTTGTGGCCCTGTCACTTGAGAGCAATATACCTACATTTCTTTAAACACATGGGGCAAGAATTTATCTCCTTCCTCCTCCTGACCCTGCAGAGGTGCCCAAGTGAATCTTGGAAATACTTTCTTAGTGAAAGAATTGGAATTTGTCCTTCGCTTCCTAGGAATGTCACACTTCAGTCACCTGATCACCCTCAACTCCCATTCCAACAGCCACAACCTCACAGACCTACATGCACAAGCTACCACAAGTCTGCAGCTTTTTACAAATGCTGGCCTTCCACCCTGTCACAAGAAGATAAGATTTCCTTCAGGAGTCCTCCCACTCGAAATGCACATGCAGGATATTGGGATTGAGTTTTAGGGCCTTGGTGGTTCACCATTTGGAAAAAGCTATGATTCCACTCAGAGATCCTGTGGCTATTGGTTCTCAACCTTGGCCACACCTTAGAATCCCCAGTATGCTTATGAAAATCCCCATGGCCAGGCCACTGCCCAGACCTTTCATTCAGTCTGGGAGTAGGCCCTGGGCATCAGTATTTTTTTAAAGCTCCAGTGTGATTCAGGAGGCACCAACTTGAGAATCTCCACTGTAGACTAATGTTTTGCCAGAATCAGCAGGAGTGTAGAAGAGGGAGGAAAAAAAATCAAGACCACCTGGAATTATTTGTTAGCCTGACAGTAGGGCAAACTGAGGAATTCAAATTAGTTACAGTCACCTTTAATTTTTTTCCCCCACGGCAAATATAGCCAACATAAATGCCAATTAATAATTGAAAAATGTACCCAAAGTTGAATAAGATAAGGTCTTCCAACCTGGGATTGTATACTAAAAGTTTCTAGAGTGGTTTTCATCCAGCCTCTTAGAAATAGTAGTTTTATTTTTTTTTTCAAAGTAATGATCCTTTAAGCTTTGTGCCCAGAAAGATTTGTATTAAGTCAAAATGCTGTATAGATATTAATGACAGTATAATTGTGGAAAATGTCATTTTTAAAACTAGGTATCTTTAAGAAAAAAGTCTAAAACTAGGTGTCTTTGAACTGGGCCTTCAACCCTTCTGAGGGTTGGGTGGGGGTTTGGCAAGAGGGAACCACTAAATGATATAGCTGTACACAGGTTCTTAATTCTCTTTACAAACATTACAGATGAGTTTTATTTTAATAAAAGCTTGGGAGCATGCTTATAAACTTAAAGTGGGGTTTTGGGTTTGTTTAGGAAAGGTATCCGTCTCCAACCCCCATGCCCTCTTTGCTTACCTGGTGGCATTTAAATGTCATTTTCCATCTTTCTACAGACGGCGAGAAAGCACAGCATGCCCAGCTGGCTCTGCAGTGTTCCATAGGAGCTTTGTTCTCTTCCCACAAGTCATCAAGCTGCCAGGAGTTAGAAACTTATAAAACCTGAATAACGGATGAGGAGTGGAGTCCTTTGGACATTAGGCCAGGACTTTTGTTGTCACATGATAAATACTCACAAGGCACTAAACTCAGATGATTTATTGCTTTAAGTAACTAAACAAGAGAAGAGACAGGCTGTTGTTTCAGTCAAGACAATCGGCATTCTCTCTCCAAGGTTTGCCAGATGCGTCTACTTAAAGCCTTAGCAATACTTTCTGAACAATATAAACACATGAGACACAACATACATGGGTAACAACTTGGCCAATGATACACTGATTAAAATAGCACATAACACTGGCACCCAGCCAGCCTAGATGCTCTGAAATGACAGAAGTAACATATTCCTAGGATGTGCTGAATACAAAAAAAAATTTTTTGGCATTAATACTAACACAGAACACCTTTAAACATTCTGTAAGAGTAGGTGCACAAAGACTCACCTCTTCATTTCCAAATTGCAAGTATCTAGGACTGTTTTGAGAAAAGCCAGGAGGCTGGACATCTCCCCTCCCCAATGTTGTCACTTTCTTTGCCAAAGCAGCAGGGGTCTAGCTGGAGAAGAGCCCATAGGGCTCCAGGGGGTAGTTAAAAGTCACCAGGTAGCTGCTGTGCAAAGCAGCAGGGGACAGATACTGCTCTGGCAGGGTGGGAAGGGAACAACAGCCTTGGTTTAGAGCCAGGGATGACCATAGATTTGACCCAGATTCACCCTGGTGGTCCTTTGCGGGTGGTATAGGCACTGGATGGTCCAGACCCTCCCTCAGGAGGAGTGGTGGAGCCAGAGCTGGGCCTCCAACCCTGAGGTCTAAAGGAAGTAACCTGACCTAGCATTCTAATACAGGGTCATTATGCCACCCTCCAATCAGATGTGCAGAAACCAACACTGTCAGAGACCGGCCCTGGAAGGGCCTGGGTGAGCTCACAAGGAGAGGTCAAGCCAAAGGGTAATACACAACACCAGGGCAAACCGGCTGCTGGCAAGATGCCTCCGGTTTAGCGTAACCTGCCTAAGACTCAGTTTTCTTCTGCTGGAGCAGGTTCTCCAGCAACTTCCTCTGCACCCCTATTCCCAGCATCCTCTCCCAGATTGGAGTGCCTGTAGGCCACCGGGGCCCTGGTGAAGCTGGCAGGACCATTCTGCACAGCCCCACACTCTGCAGGCTCCCCTCCCAGATAGCTGGCAGGGGCCATCTCTTCTCTGACCTCTTGAACAGGAACCTTCATCATCTCAGAGGCACCATCCTCCTGTTGCCTGTCCAGCACACAGTTTCCCACATCTCCATCTTTAGAGAACTGGTCTTCTAAATTCTTCTCGTTTTCTTCTGCTAGTCGTTTGTCTCTGGCACTGAGTTTGCCTTTGGATTTCCTCATCTGCCTGCTGTGTATGTCTTCTCGGGAGAATCGCCACTGAAACTGGAAATCACGAGAATGGGATAAATACACAGCCTCTCTGACCTCAGCTTCCTGCCCAAATCAACTGACCAGACCCAACTGCCAGGATTCCTGAGTCAACACCAACCCATCCATCCATCTGTTCATGTCTTAGAGAGTTGATTCTAAATGTGGATTTGGGGGTGCTGTGGGGGTGTGTGTTCTGATGCATCCCTTACCAATGTGGCAAAAGGAGTCCTGAAATCCTGTTATTTGGAGTGCCAGGAATAGCTCCTTGGGGCCATTTTTGCAGCTACTCATTTCCAGTCTGAGCATACTGTGGGTTCCTAACTAAGCACTGGGCCTGCATTCTCTCCCCAGCTTACTAAGTTAGGGCACAGGCCATGGGGCAGATGCTGTTCCTGTGTCACCCAGAGCCCTCTGCAGGACTGACAGATTCTTTCCTCAGCTGCAAGGACTGCTGCCAGCCCTCTCACCATCTTGCCTATGGTCCCTCCTCTGCCCATGGTGACCCAGAACAGCTAGTCCAGGTGGTACGTAACAGCTCATCACCTTGACCTAACTCTGAAAGGCCATCCTGGCTCTAGAGCCACCTCGGGGCTTGTGACTGCATCATAGCCCAGGTTTTCCCTCTGCTCCCTCCTCCACCCGCCAGATGTCTTAAGGGCACACCCTCCAAAAACTTCCTCCACCCAAATCTATCTAGGAGGCTACTTCGTGAGAAGCCCAACTGGCAACCAAACAGAGCTGAGCCAAGAACCCTGGTCTCATCAAAGCTCTGCAGCAAGACTGCCCAGGAGAGGCCCAGCCCTGCCATTCCCTGGACAGATTGCTCAACTTGTTTTCTCATCTGTGACCCACAGGATACACAGAGGCTTTCATTTTCAGTTCCCATCATGGTCACTTCCTTCCACTTCAGCTGAACCACAGTGGTGACACCAAATATGTACTTTAATTAGACACTGAGATCGAAGGAAGCCTTTGGTTCCTACAGTGTATCACATGGCTAGAGAAGGGGGCCCAGGACTGCAATTGCACCATCAGTGGGAAACTTACCATACACATACTTATGAGTACTTTGCTATGAAAAACCAAACATATGTAAATTTTTAAAAACCATCCCACCTTTGCAGAGTTTCCCGTGGCAGAGATCTATTTCCTTAAATAAAACATTTGCTGAAACACAAGATACTGAGATTTGATGCATTATGGGATTCCCTGGATTTTAACCCCTTTGACAAAACTGGTAAATTTGAGTATTCCGTCAAAGTAGAGAAAAAGGAGTGAAATACGTGTTGAAGTCAGGATTTCACATATCTCCTATTCTCCCCTACCCAACCCCCAATAATTTCACTTTACAATGTTGGATGGGTTTCTCCCTTTGTCACTCATTTCTTGGGACACTTATACTGCAGACTTTCCTTTGGGGACGGTTGGAACTTCTTCCACCCAAGCTACTCATTTCCCATGGTAGGATCACTCCACTGGCTAAGCGGCACCTCAGACCCTACTCAGCTTGTAGATGTGCACACTTCAGCCAAGACTGCCCAGCAGGCATTTTAAGGAGCCACCATCCACCAGAGGAGGCCACCAATTTCACGCCTCAGTGGCTGCTGCTGCCTGCCACACTGATGCCTTGTGACATATCACAGTGGCCATTATACCTTGATTCCAGCCCAAATGGAAGAGCCCTTTTAAAAAATGGACATTCCCAAGTAGTCAGAACCTCTTCCCATTTTACATATTTTTAGAGAGGCCAGTTAAGCCTGCCTATATATAAATAATCCTCAAGAGGTGGTCAACTATTGAAGAAATCAGGAAATTTTACTTGTGCAACTGTTTTGGCTAAGAGGCCCTTCATGCTAAAATGTCAAAGTGCTGTGGCAGCTAAGCGCAAATTAAATGCATTCTGGTATTTGTTAGCTGTCGGTCCTTGGGCAAGTGATTACCCTCTGAATCTCTGTCTAAAACAGTTCCTATCTCTAAAATAGTTGTCTCTGGGCCAGGGTCCGTCCACGCCATGGCTGATGTGAACAGCACCCTCTGAAATTGTGTGGTGCACTGCCACCAGCCAGACCTTCCACCCTCAAGACTTGTCAGTTTCTAACATGATCCCAGATATCTTCTCAGGGACTGCTCTTGCCAAATATGCAGAACTCCCACAGTCCCCTCTGGGTGCCTGGCCACATTGTTTCCTGTTCACATTTTGTTGATCTCCGACAGTCGTCAAGACTGTCAAAGAAGTGCACAGGCCGTGGGAAGGCCCATAGCAAGCACACCAGCCACTTTCTCCAGGACTCTTCCTGGACTATTGGGCAGAGAAAGATCTTAAACTGTCAGTGGTGAGCTGCGTGGGAACAGCCACTTTCTGTCCTTCAGTGTCATCATGGAAAAATCTACCAAGCCAGACGCCTTCTAGGACTACAGTTGTCTGTGCCTTCAGATGGATTTGTGGGTGACCTCATGACTCCTACCACAGCTGTCATGGGTGCTGCAGACAGATTCCCAGGAAGCTCTGACCCAGGCCTTCCCTTTTCCTTTGTTTCTCCTTGACCAGGGGAGGCTCTCAGGGAGAGACAGTGGCTCAAACTCAGGGATACATAATCTGGAAGCTGAATGTTGAGGGTCACGAAGGCAGACTGCCTTAGAACAGATGCTGAGGAAGGAACAGGAACATACCAAAAGAGCCACTGTATCAATCTGGATCACAGGTTCTCATTTCCCTGAATTCCAAAGCAAGACCCTCATTCAACATTATTAGTGCTGTTTTAAAGGTGATCACAGAGATTCAGAAAGGTTATGCAACTTGCCCCAAATCACACAGGTGGAAAATAGTGCTGGAATTCAAACTCTGCTTTTTCCAGCTCCACCTTTCTAAGCCTTTCTTTCTTGGCTAAAGGCCTTAGTCTCTTGCTTCTGAGAGAATTGAGAGGAAGTGACAGGAGAGGCTATACCTTTGAAATACTTAGCCCAAAGCATGATGCCTCAGCCTTCAGACCTTACAAGGGCGAAATGTATCTTCTAGGTCAGATGCTGAGCTCATTAGGTTGAGTAATGAGCTAATCAGAGTCCAGACTCAACTGCCATTAAAGATATTTTGGTTTTGCTTATTACAAACAAGTATCTACACTGAAGTCTCCTTGACAGGCAACCCCCCCCCCCCAAATACCAGGGATGAAACCCAGGGGCACCACTGAACCACATTCCTAGCCCTTTTAGAGACAGGCCCGAAGCAACTCGGCAAGATCCTAAGTTGCTGAGGCTAACCTTGAACTAGCAATGCTCCTGCCTCAGCCTCCTGAGCTGCTGGGATTATAGGAGTGCACTATCACACCCTGCAACAGGCACATTAAAAAAAAAAGAATTACTATAAAATTAGAATGGAGATCCCCGGGTGATTCTGAAAAAGGGTCCTAACTGTTCACTAAGACCCTGGCACTTTGCCCTCAGCAGACACCAAGATCACTGAAGGGCTCCTTCAAACAGCTGCCCACCCTGTTCCAGAGGGTCTGACCCTGTAGGCATGGGGAGGGAAGGCAGACTTTGAGTCTGACAAACTCCAGGGTGGTGATGATATTGCCAGTCAATGGACCACATTTTGAAACCCACTTAACTAAGAAGAAACAACTGGGCAGGGCTTAGCCACTCAGGAAATATCTGGGGAGAAAAAAACACCATCTCCCAGCCCTCCTTTTGCCATCAGGGAATAGCTTCCTCCATACTCCTCCCTTCTACCTTCTACCTGTCTCTTTCACTATGCAGGCCTTGCTCTTTCTCCTTTAAGCAGAGGACAGTCACAGTTTTAAATAAACAAAAACCTCAAGATCCCAAGGCTCAAAAAGGAGACACCTCAGAAAGCAAGGAGAGGCTAGGGATATGTGTCTTTGGCCTACCCCAGTGTGTTCTGCGTTCTGAGAAATACCAGGGAAAATCTGAGCCAACCACAAATTGGCTAGGAAAACAGCCTGCAGAGTCAGGGTCTTCCCAAACCAGATAATGTGCAACACCTGAGTGTGCCCCGAATCCAGGGCTCCTTCAAACTTGGAGAACTGAGAGAAGAAAATCCTTGGCTTTACAGTAGTGTGTGTCCAGAGTTCAGCAGGGGGCTAATGGATTTAAATTGCACGGTTTAATAAGTTATATATATGTGTCCACTTAAAACATTTTAGCTGGAAGAGAGACTTCTGAATAGTAGAAATCACCTTTTCCCTTTGAAGGAGTTTAGTATTTGCTTTGAAAAATCACTCATACACAGAGGTTTCTTTCAAATGCTGAAAGGTCTTGGAGAATTTTGTCCACGTTGCTCATTAAAAGAGGACCCGATGCGCCACATCCTTGATGTGGCAATCCTGCAATTTCTTTCAAAAGTTTCAGTGCTAGATTGGAATGTACATGTTCTGGGCTCCGAAGTTTGATTACTCATTCATTGATTCAATAGATATTTGTTGAGCACCAATGAAAATCCAGGTACTGGGTGAACAGTAATCAAAGGGAAAAGTCTTTGCTCTCCTGGAATGAATGTCTGACTACCAGGAAAGAATAAATCAAAGAGCATAAATCACGAGAGATCCACAGGAGAGCTCTGCACGGCAGGGGAATATGGTTCTTCTGCACTGTGTTGTGAAGAAGCCTGGCTTGGCCTCAATTAAGAGGTGTGTCCTGAGAAAAGGATGCCCGAGTGGAGATGAAATGGAAGAGTGTATCCTAGGTGAGGGAACAGCCAAAGCAAGGCCCTGTGGCCAAGGAGAGCAGAGGAGCATGGGTGCTGGGATGCAGAGTAAGGGGCTGGCAGAAGTAAGAGGGGGCCAGATCACATAGGGCTATAGATGGATTCAAGAGTTTATTAGCTCAATTCACAATAGCTAAACTGTGGAACCAACGTAGACACCCTTCAACAGATGGATGGATAAAGAAACTGTGGTGTATATACACAATGGAATATTACTTAGCATTAAAAGAGAATGAATTATGGCATTTGTAGGTCAATGGAGAATATCACATTAAGTGAAGTAAGCCAATCCCAAAAAACCAAAGGCTGAATGTTCTGATAAGTGGATGCTGATCCATAATAGAGGGATATGGGAAAAATGGAGGAACTTTGATAAGACAAAGAGGAGGGAGGTGTGGGAAGAGGGCATGAGGGGAGGAAACATGGTGGAATGAGATGGCCATCACATATGGTGCGACGCTACATGGTATGCAACCACAGAAATGTAAAGTTGTGCTGCAGTTGTGTACAATGAATCAAAATGCATTCTGCTGCCATGTATACCTAATTAAAATAAATAAAAAGAATATCCCCTCCATGGATTGCTTTAGATTACTAGTATGGTTGGTATGGGAAAAAAAGTTTCTAGGGCCTAAAGTTGACAGGTCTTAAGGGTAAGCTAAATATAGTGGGAAGGAGAGGGCAAGTTAGGGATGACCCCCCAGGTGGGCGGGTGTTGTTCCTCTAGATGGGGCCAGGTGGGCCAGGTAGGGAGGGGCAAAGTCCTGTGCATGCTCTTGGATGGAGCAAGCGAGAGGAGGTAGCGCACTGCAGTCCCGTGCAAAGCAAGGGCTGAAAACACAGATGTAACAGCATTGAGGTCCTGAGTGAAGCCTTGGGACGGAAGATTTTCTGAGAAGACGAGAGAGAGAGAGAGAGAGAGAGAGAGAATCCCAAGGAACTTGGTGTATCAGAACACGGTGGGACAGAACCAAGAGAAAACGGTGTGGCACACACTGTCAAGAGCTGTGGGTTCCATCATGAGGACTACATGGAATTACCAGGGGACACAGACCGAGGGGACTGAGGCAACAATGATGGAGACAAAGAGATACATCGAGTGCGGAAGATGCATAAAGATGTTTAGTGGCAAACTCCCCTCTTCCTGGGACTATACCAGTGAGCTGACTTGGAGGTCTCACGAGAGCACAAGTACTTGACATCATGCATCTTGAAATGATGCAGGCACATTAAAAGAGAAAGCAGTCTACCTGCATTTATTATAGAGCCGATTAGGTCTGGAAGTTATTACTAAATTGGTGGTGTAGGGGGGGTCCTCCCATCTTCTCCAGTTTTTCCCCCAAAGAAAGGCAGTTCTGCCTTCTTGGGGATTGAATGCTGTGTTGCTCTGTTACTGAGCTACATCCTCAGCCTTTTTTGAGACAAGGTCTAAGTTACCGAGGCTGCCCTCAAACTTTCATTCTCCTGCCTTAGCCTCCTGAGTCACTGGGATCACAGGTGCGCACTACCACACCCAGCCTGGCTCAAATTGGCCACTGACTTGTCCCTGCCAGGCCAGGGCCTTCCTACTGAAGTCAAATTGCACCACAGGCAGACACCTGGCAAGGAAAGACAGCACTGTCTCCTTAAGGGCTGAAGCCAGATTCCTTCCAACATTTGGCAGGAGAACTCTTATGCACTGCTTGTTGAATGTCACTTTCTCTGAGTGATGTCATCCCGTGAGCCTGTGGCAGAGCAGTACTGACAGTGGTCTGTGGCCATCCATCTTCCAGCCGGTGGCTGACTGCTCCTGGTGGTTAATAGTGGATCAGCGACTGCCTGCTGGTCCACTGCTGCTGTCACCTGTCACATTACCATCCCAGAGCCTGGAGAGAGCCCTTCCTCTGCACTCCAGCCCATCTGGCTTTGCGTCCCCATCGCCTTGGCATTCCTTCCATGAGTGGGCACCCCCTGGATTTGTTGGCTGGTGAGGGGCTACTCCAATCTGTTCGCTGGCTGGATGCTCCTGCCTGGGCCTCTGTGTCCAGAAAACACAAGGAACCAACCAAGAGTGGGGAACCTAGAGATGGTGCAACTGTGTAGAGCTGAGCAGGTCAAGCAGGTTCTGTCCAGAGTATGACCTTCACCATCAGAATGGAATAAAGCGGATCCAGGTGACACCTAACTGGAGCTTTGGTGGATTCCCTCAAGTGCCTGGACTCATACTGAGCAACTGGTGATACACCCACAATATATCACATAGCTTTCACAAAATACCTGAGAAAAATCAACTTAAAAGGAGGGAAAGATTTATTTTGGCTCACGGTTTCAAAGGAGGATTAAGTCTGTGGTTGGCTGACACCAGTGTTTCGGGGCAGCATCAGGTAGAGGATGGCAGAGGAGTTGCTCACTTTCTGGTGTCCAGAAAACAGGAAGGGGCCAGGTCCCTGTAGCCCCATCAAGGGCATGCTCGATGACCTAATTTCCTCCCCCTAGACTTCCTCCCAGTAGCTCCATCAGCTGGAACCAAGCCTTCCACACGTGAGCCACTGATGGATATTTAACACACAGGTAAAGGCTGCAAAGCATGGGGGTGTGAAGCGTTAGAGTCACCTGGCCCAAGGGGAGGACTTGAACTTAGCTTTAGGAAACAGCAGATTCTGAGAATGGCCACAGTCTCTTAGTGCAGCTGTACCCAGAACAGTTCATGAGAAGTCTAGCAAGAGGGAAAAGACCCTGGGAATCCTTGACCACAGCCTGGCCTGAGGACTTGCTGCCACATGCTATGACTTGCTTCCATCTGTATCACCAGCTGTTACTGTGGCCATCCATCCTTGACAGGTCAGAGCCTGTCAAGAAGGGACTCTGGCAGGGTCTCTTTGCCAAGATCAGCAAACATCTATGTCCTGAGGATCAAACGTGCAAGCCAGAGCGCCAATCAGCTTGTAGTGGGATTAAGACAGAGAAGCCACCCACATCTTGAGCTCAAGCTATCCCCACCCCAGTCAGACTACAGCTGATGTGTTACCCCCGATTTTGGCATTGTGGGATTATCTGGTATCTGTGGGGGTCCAGAAAAGCCTCTGTCCCCCCATCCAGCCTGGCCCTCAGGAGGTTGGCAGAATAGCCCTCCACTCCCCTCAGTAGCCTCAGGTGTGATTCAGTCTGTCAAGGGGCTCAGGTGTTCCCTGGGCTCTGAAAGCACTTGAAAGTTGGAGCAGGCTGCCCATCCAGCTGCTGTGGGAAATGCACTGGAAGATGAAGCTCTGTTGAAACCCAGAGGTTTCTTACCTTTGATTCCTTCTTCTTGATTTTCTGAGGTAGACATGGTCTCTGAAGAAAGACAATCTGCTTGGTGGAGATGCTCCCTTCCCTACAACACAGTGAGCTGAGACTGAGTCATGTTACACCGGAGGAACCCCAAATCTAGCCTGGGTGCTACAGTCCCCAATTTCATGACAGTGGGCACCATCTTGCTACATGCCTGCATTGCGTGCCTGAGCCTGTGTCAGCCAGGCCCTCTGCTCACCTCCTGTAATGGCTGGAGAGCCCAATGCAGGGAAAGCACCACCAGATGGTAAAAGAAATGGCCCCACTCCACTCACCCACCCCCAGTCTGGGGGCCATCTCAGATGACCTGCAGAAGCATTCTGGGTATCCCTGCAAAGCAGGCTCCCTAGGTGAAAACTCCCTTCCCTTGATGTAAAGTAGTTGGCATCTTAATCAAATGGGGACACACTGGTGAGATTCAGACTCAGAGGTGGGGCCTCTCCCAAGGCTATCTTTGGTAATTATGGCAGGGATGGGGGTGTAAATAAGGACCTGGGTGAAGAGCTCAGTCCTCAGCCATGAGGACAGCTGGCAGAAGTATGACCAACATGAGCTCGTTCACAGCTCAGCTCCTACAGACACGCAGTGCCAGGTGGGTAGCACCATGGCAGCTGCCAATCAGCTCTGACCCACACAAACAGAAGTGGTGAGGGTGGCTCATCCCTGTGACTTGGAGCTAATGATGACAGAAACAATGTATAGGAGAGCATCGTTTTCTCTTGCCTCCACCCTTCTGGTTCTCTTTTAAAATCTCTTAACTTGCAAACATCTTCTCACCACATTTGGGCCAGGTGGCTAATCTTAGGTCCCCTGGGCAGGACAGATTCCCTGGGCAGAAGGGGTAAAGAGGAGGTGTGTGTGAGAGTGGAGAAGGTGAAATTCTGGCTCTGCATCTCCCAGTTGGAGGGTCAACACACCAACTTCACAGGCTTGTCGCAGGATTAAGTCAGTCCTCCACATGGAGTGCTTGTTAGAACAGTGCCTAGCATGGAGTAACTTCAATAACGACAACCAGTCATTGTTACCTGGTAGTCTTGACAACGGGAGTCGGTAGCACACAGGTGAGCTGCCAGCCATAGGCTGCCAGTGAGTTCAGCAGGGGCACGTAGTCAGTCTGAATCTCCACGCCCTGGGCAAAAAAAGGCCACCATTAGCCCCACTGCTGCCTCAAACCACCTCCAAGCCACAGGAGGCCACTGTTCCATCTACCAGCCCAACAAAGCCAAGAAGAGGTGCTCTGTTGTGTGCCGGAGAGTTAGATTTTAGAGCCAAACTGCCAACATGGGATTTCTTTCCAGGCCCTGACACAGTCTGTGTAGTTGGCAAGGAATTACAGCCAAAAGATTAATCCATTAATTTTGTTTTATTCTTGTCTGGACAAATAGCCTCCTGTGAGTTTCATTGAAGAAACACAATTACCTCGCCTCAAAGGCACGTTCAGGGTCTATGATAACACACACTGCTCTGGATGATTTCAGAGTGTCATGGGGAGTTAAATTACATTTGACAAATGATCAAGTCATTTGCATCCAGTCTCAGCCTGGCACACATACATGCATGCACACGTGCGCGCACACACCCCCGTGCACACACAGAAGCAGTTTCACCTGTGCTATCCACCCTGCCATCCAGAGATGAATGCTGTCAGTGCTTTATTTCAAATTAGGATCCAGGGGACTAATACTTATCTTTCAATCTGAAAATGCAGCCCTGCTCACACAAGAAGACAACCCTAAGGTGAGGCCACTGCGCTGGGTTACTCCATGTAGGCACCTTCACCACACCAGCTAGGCTGTGAACACCCTGGACTCCTGTTTTCTTAGCTTGTCACTGGCCTCAGAAAATGTCAAACATGCATCCAGATTCCTTGTGTCCCGTGGGTGCACACGACTCATTCCTCGAGTGTTTGAGAACTGCAGTGGGATGCACAGGTGAAGAACGGCACAGCCCTGCCGCAGAGTTCACAGTGCAGTCACCAAAGTACAGACTGGTCTGCTGCCAGGGCCACAGGCCTCGAATGTCAGAAAAAAGAAAGATCTAGGCCACCGTCAAAGCCAGCTTTCAGGAACCTGCACAAATTACAAGATGAAGCTGGGCCTGGGGCTCCAAGCAGGGTGGGCTTCATGTGGAGGCATCAGTGTGTAGTAGCCTGGAGTGCCGTGCTGGCAAGGGAAGCAGCCCTGGTGAGACTGCCTGCTGGCGGCCATTTGGGACACAATCGGCTCATCTGGCTGCCCTACACTTGGGAGCCAGAAGGAAGGGAGGGAGATGAAAGAACAATCTGCCCGCCTCTTCAGACAGCTTTTAAACTTTCTGTAACTGGACACCAATCCCACTGTGCCTCCACAAGTCACCAGAGCCCCTCGCAACTAATGTATCCTTTGGGAAACTCAAATTTTCTCAAATGTATGCAGGAAGTATGGACCTGAGCCGTGACTCTCAAAGCTTGGTCCTGGAGCAGGCAACATAGGGGCCTTACCTGGAACTTGTGAGAAATAGATTCTTGGGGCCCAGCTGAGACCCACTAATCAGAAACTCTGGGAATGAGCCCCTGGAATCCGTATTTTCAAGAGCTCCTCTCAATAGTTCTTATACAGATATGCATGAAATCATTGCCTAGATATCTCTTAGGTCTTCTGGGGGAGAGAGTCTAATTCTGCAGCCAGAAATCTATCAGCTGTCACTCCCAATCTAAGCTTTCCCATTATTCTCCATATAAAGAAGAAGAAAAAAATAGATGGACTTTTAAAGGATCAACTGTCTGAGAAATGATGATGAGGGCAGAGTGTCGCGCTGGAAGGGGATTCGGGGAAGAGAGAAGAAAGGAGAACAATGTCATCAGTTTATGGAAGGCTGCAGCAGAGGATGTCGCTGTGGCCCCTCCCCAAGCCCCACAGTCACGGGAGATGGTCAACACTTGGCCAGCAGGCTCCTTTCTGCAGTCCCCCTGGCACACAGGTGCCTCCCTTCCAGCACAGCACCCTTGGCCAGTACCCCTTCTGCCAGGCTGGAGGAAGAGCCCCGTGGCTATTGTATCCAGAGTTCCCCTGCCCCCATGCCTGTGTTCCCGGTCTAAAGAGAGAAAGGAGGAAAAAAAATTTAAATCCACATTCTCCAGCTTTGCGAGGTTATGATTACTTGGGCCTATCATGAATAACCTTCCCACTTTATCAAGCACTGTGACAAACCCACCACAATCAGACAGTAGCCATAGCAACCAGGACAAGCTTTGGCGCCTCACAAAGCCCTGAGTGGCAGAATGGAGTCCTTTTATTGGTGGCTATACCCTGGCCCGGTTTTCTCTGCGTGAGCCCAGAGCTGCAAGACAATGAACGACCCCTGCCGCAGCCTGACCCGCCTGTTCAGACGGGCCTCACCAGGGTGGCTTCTATTTTGCTTCCATTTTATTTCATTTTGTCACTATCTTAAAGAGAAAAACAGCAGGATTTCGCCCAAACAGTTTTTTTCCCCTCTCAGGGTGGGAGATGTCAGCCAGAGGGTGAAGAATCATAAAGACCAAAAGGACAAGGGAAAACACAGCAAAACATTACTGGTCCTTGGGAGGGTTCAATCCCAAGTGTTAATTCCTGGTCATCAATCACGTGGTGAGTTGATGAGTGAAATAAAAGAAATGTTAGAGGTGAGGTGTGACTCTCTGCCAGGCTCTCCCACTCCAACTATTTGGGCCGTCTCCATGTAATTAATGTTCAATGTGGCTTTCCATAAGCATCTATCAAAGGCAGTTTGCATATTATCAATGCAGCAAGACGACAGCATTTCTAAAACACGAGATGAGCCCCGTGCAGAAGACACTTTTAAGTCCATTAGCTAAGAAAGGTGGTAGGAAACGGATCTGGATGGAAGGCTCACTTTGATCTGCTTTTTTGTGACACTCTAGTGAGGAGAAGAAGAAAGCAGCAACCGGCACTCCAAAGCCAGCCTGCTTATCAAACGAAAAGACATTTCTTTCTGTGAGTCAGAGCAAAAATTTTAATTAACTCTCCACTCTCTTGTGGTGGATACGTAATCTCCCATCACACCTGGAGTGTTAAAAAAAAGTAGAGCATGTCCTGTGGTTTTTCAACTTGTATAAAAGGAATTCATTTGTATTTATGGCTCTTTTCCCCCTTTGTTCCCTGTAATTTCTCCAGTGGTTGCAAATCAGCTAAGGAAACAGACATCCAACACAGCCTTCCCTTAACCCTGTAAAAATGTAACAATATAGAGTTTACTAAGAAATGCATTTGTCTTTTGATAATTTTTAAAGATCCTCTGTGCCGGCAAAAGAATGAGGAAGTCACATATTGGTCCAGTGAGAAAGTTCATACTTTCAAATACAGTTTGCCCTTTCCTAATAACTTAAACTCTAGAAGTCAAAAAATAATAATTTGATTACATAAAAATCCATTTGCGTGACAAAAGACAACATTCACAAGTTCAAAAGATGAATGAAGAAATGGGAAGATATTTGTAGTCATATTATAGCTAAGAAAGCGCCTCTAGAAATTGATAGGCAAAAAGTCCAGTAATCTCAAGTTTTTCAATTGGACAAGGATTTAAAGATCAAAGAAAAGGAAAATCAAATGGTCATTAAGCACGTGAAGAAAAAAGCAGACTCTCGTAATAAAAGAAATGCATATTAAACTACCCTAAGATACTGTTTTTTTTACCTATCAAACTGGTTGTTTTTTTTTTTTTTTTTTTTTTAAAAAAACCTTCAAGTTTGACAACGGACTTTGTTGACAAGACTGTCGGGAAGCAACCATTTTATCACATTGCTGATGAGAGGGCAAACTAAGTCAACCTTTGGGGAGGACAATTTGACAGTCTCTCTCAAAATTATAAATACATTTAACCTTAGACCTAACAATCTCATTTCTGGGAATTTATCTTTTGTATATATATGAAAATGTACAAAGATGTTCACTGGAAAACTGTAATAGCAAGACACTGGAAAAAAAAAAAAAAAACCCAAGTGTCCATTAGTGTTAGGCTTGTTAACTTGGTATGTTTTCATACAGAGGCTGGAGGAACTGGGAATTAGTGGTTGCTCATGTGTTGACCCAGAGCATACAGGACAAGGGGGGACAATGAGAGGAAAGAATTCCCTTCCAAACACGCTAAAGTTGAGGAACCTGTAAAGATGTCTTGCAGAAAATGAAACTGCATGTAGGTAGACAGAATAACAGCCTCCAAAGATAACTACACTCTAATCTCCAGAGCCTGTGAATGTGTTCCCTTACATGGTAAAAACAAGATTTGGCAACATTTTGAGTAGGACTGCAAATTAGTACAAACACTGTGGAAATCAATATAGAGATTTCTCAGGACTAGGAGTAGAACTACCATATGACCCAGCTATCTCATGCTAAGAGCTGAGATTGGCATACAACAGTGATACCTGCATCCCAATGCTTACTGCAGCATAATTCAGAATAGCCAAGTTAAGGAACCAGCCCAGGTATCTGTCAACAGGTGAATGGATAAAGAAAATGTGGTATATATCCACAATGGTGTTCTACTCAGCCATAAAGGTGAGTGAAATTATGTCATTTCCTGGTAAATGGATGGAACTAAAGAACATCATTCTAAGTGAAATAAACCAGGCACAGAAAATGAAGGATTGAATGTTTTCTCCTCCTAGGTGGAAGCTAGAGAGATATAAAGAATAAGGAAAGGTGGATCTCATGAAAATAGAAGAGAGAACAGTAGAGGAAAGGGATAAGGGGGAGGACAAGAGAGGGACTGCAGAATGAAATTAACCAAATTATGTGCATGTATGAATCCCACTTTTATGAATAATAATAACGTACTGATTAAGAAATAATAGAAGACCAGTGGAGTAGAGGAAGGAGATTAGGAGAGGGAGGAGGGAAAGGAAAAGGGAAAATATTGGGGAATGAGATGGATCAAATAATGTTATGTGCATTTATAACAAATCCTACTGTTCTGTATAACTATAGCACTAATAAAGACATAATAAAAAAGATTTGGCAAATGTGATTAACTTAAGAATCTTGACATGGACAGTTTATCCTGGATTACTTTGGGTGGAGCCAGTGTAGTAACAAAGGCAGGAGAGTCAGAATCAGAGATGTGATGAGAGAAGCAGAGGCCAGAGTGATACCA